AAAAAATTAATCTTAAACAAACTGGCAAACGCTTAACTCCATAGGTACCTACCAATAATTAAAAATAAATATAATGGAGTTCCAAAAACTTTTTTAAATAATCCAATAAAATGTATACATAATACAAATATTCTTCAAATATAAAAAAAGAAAAAAGAATTTGCCAAATATAATACAAATTTCAATTACAGTAAACATTTTTAGTATCATTTAAAAATTTTAAAAAAGTATCTTGAACATTAACAGATATCCGCCATGCTTCAATCAAATGACGATGTAATAGTTCTTTTGTACCTAGTTCATTGCATTTCGCGAAACTATCGTAAACAGACGTACATATGTGTTAGATAAAACCAACTACGACCACCCAATTATGATTTTTCTTGACAATTTTACATTTATCAAAATAAAAGTAAAACATAATATGCCCAATATGCTAAAAATTGCATTTCTTAAAATATGACGAAATATTATGCAAAAATATACAAATTCAAACTTAGTATTTAATTTCACTATTTCATAAAACAAATTTATATCTCTCCTAGAATAATATAATATAATATAATAATAGGTAATAATAATTGTAGATCACCAACTACACCTAGTATAATACGATAGATCACCTGATACACCCAAAACGAGGTAGTAGATCACCTGCTACACGAATTCCTTAATTTCATCTTTTATGTTTCAAAATCTCTTGTTTTTATTTAGGTATATTATATGATATTGTTTTTTTTTGTAATATTAGGTTTTCAGTTTAAACTTTTAAATACTTATATAATGTATGATAAAATAATAATATGATAGATCAATTACCTGATTAGAATACATGATTTATTTAAAAGACGTACAAACAATAAATACAATATAAATAACTCAGTTCGGCCTTCCGCTTTCTGCCACAGAATTAAATAATTAGTGAATGAATAGGTTATTAAACACATTAACAATATTAGTGAAATTACAATAAAATATGTAGAACACTTGAGACGTTAAACGAGGTGACGAGTGTATGACTGATGCCGTTAAAAATGTGTGAATCTGCATGACTGCATGCGCTACGCCGCTACGGTGATGTTCTTTGTCATTATGTGATGAGTGGGTGAGGTAGCGGTGTTTTACAGAGCATTTATTGTAAGATGTTACAGCGATAAAGTTTAAAAATAGTATTCATTATTATAACAATTAAAATTTCATTAGAAGACTCTGCGATCATTATACGTTAATTTGAAAAGGGACTTTAAGTAGAACATCAATTGTACATCTATGAGAGTACTTAAATGTGATAATTACAATACGAATGTCTATGTTACATCACAAACCTATACGCTTCTATACTGTTTTATCACATAACCATAATTTTGAAATAAATAAATTGAGTATAGCCAATGAGATGTTGCAAGAAAGTCGATTTGAGAACCACTTGAGATCTTCAAAATGATAATCACAGAGTAGTTAAAATCCTACATTTTCTCACAGGGATTACTTTAACTACATTAACATAATAAACAACGACCACTTCGTACTCCAATTATCTATTAGAAACTTTGGAGAACAATTTAAATTTATGTTAACACCGAAAACCATAGACCATATCTCTCCGAAGTTTGGAATTATCATAGAATGCTGATAAAAAGTTAAGCCACCAAGTGGTGGACCTTTGATCCACCTCCTTTTTTTTAAATTTTTCACCGGCAGTATTTAACCGTTTACCCTTGGAACCTTTCTGGGAGAAATACTTCAGGGATAGAAGGTGCCGCAATCGTTTATTGACAACAAAACGCTTATCCCGTCAGGGCCAAGAGTCTTGCCGTTTTACAGCTTTCTTGTAGCCATAATAGAGCTCGTCAGCTATTTCAACTATAAATTAAAAGCCGGTTCTTGTAACGTATACGCCTCCATCAACACTGATCAAAGGTCGAGTTTGTCTCGCATGCTCGCCGACTGCCACTGTATGAAATTTGTAACCGGGTACATCGTTATTGTCACCTGTTTTTTGGAATGTCACTGTACAGCCATATATAGCCGCCATCGAGTTAGGTTAAGCTAGGTTAGGTTAGGTTAGGCGCTCACCACTTCTTGTGTTGCTAAGGCTGGTCACGCACTACGGTTTTATTTGTCCGTGTACGGTGTAGTCCGAACAACATACACAGATAGTGTATGATGGGCATTAAAACGGTTGTAAAAGACCGTACACGGAAATGGAATAAAAACTGAGGAGTTCGATTTTTTGTTCGTGTTTGGTGTTCGAATGTTCGAAATGAACAAAACCGAAGGTGTGTCCATATTCGGTGTTCAAACTAAAACCGTACAATTTTAAAAACTATAAATAGAATAAATAAATAACACCAATTTTATTATTTTCAAGATGTTATTTTTTTTTTTTATTCTCAAAACGCATTTGCCCGTGGGCGCCCGTGCCCCCCTTCAATTTTTTTTTCTGCAACTTATCTTTAGTTCAATTTTTTATTCACATATTAAAACCATAATATCGATAACCAGCTGTTTCATTAAAATATTCATTTTCTCATGATATAATTATTGTAAATAGGGAACGCTATTAGTTTAAGAATAATGATATTGTAGACTGCAGTCTTCAATGTTTGTTTTTAGAGCAACTTTTTTCATATTTTTTTTTTTTTTTTATTCTAAAAATGCATTTGCCTGAGGGCGCCCGTGTCCCCCTTTTCATTTTTATTTTTAAAATTAAATCCTATTTGATTTTTTTATATATTTTTCTTTTTTAAATCTCAAAATTAATTTGCCCGTCGGCGCCTGTGCCCTTCAAATTTTTTCCGTAACTTATCTCTAGTTCAACTTTTTATTCACATTTTTTAAACATTGATAACCAGCTGGTTCCTTAAAATATTCTTTTTAACATGATATAGTTATTGTACATATTGTCTAACTGTAATCTTTCTTTACTATTTTAATTTTATTTTATTGTTATCTTTCTTGTTCCAACTTCAGATTGTTAAAGTTAACTCTCTACTTCATCACAAGCTTCGGCTTAAAGAAGTAGATAATTGTATTTGTATGTTTATATATTTATTATGTTCATGTTATACAAAAAAAAAAATTAATAAAGTGTAGATAAGTGGGTAATTAACTACGTGTCTACGTACTAATAATTTTTTTTAAAACTCTTATTTCCAGTTTTTGTGTTTCCTTTTGCATAAAATCTTACATTTTTTCCTTAAAATTTTTCAATAAAATTTAAATTAAAAATAATTCAGTTACTTTAATTGTTTAATATAAGTTAATATGAGCACATAAAGTGGTGCAGTTGGCAAAAAAGGTTAATTTTATTTTAAAAAATAAAATAAAATTATAACTATTATGTTACGTTTGAATAAATTTATTTTTCCAAGAAACTGTACATCATCATTAGAAAAGTAATCAACATATAAGTCTCTTACATCTTTAGCATTTTGATGAATATTTCTGCCATGTTCTACTTGTGTTTGCAAAGGCCTTCGACTGTTTGTGTTATTGTTATCATTAAAAAAAAACCGATATGCAATGAACACTAAAGTAATTTTTATAAGTCTTAAGAGGACGTTATACCCGCATGGGTTGTCTCCGTCTTACAAGTGCGTAACATAGCAAATTGTACACTCAGCAGAACACGTGTAGCTCCGTTAATTTAAAAATTAAAGTGAATTGACCTCTAATAAAATCTAAACTTAAGATTATTATCTAGGCAACCTCATAGGTTTTTTATTATATTTTAATTTTAACGCGAGTTATGAGTATTTTAACATTGTAAATTTTTTATACATCTTAAAATACTCATAACTCGCGTTAAAATTAAAATATAATAAAAAACCTATGAGGTTGCCTAGATAATAATCTTAAGTTTAGATTTTATAAGAGGTCAATTCACTTTAATTTTTAAATTAACGGAGCTACACGTGTTCTGCTGAGTGTACAATTGGCTATGTTACGCACTTGTAAGACGGAGACAACCCATGCGGGTATAACGTCCTCTTAAATGTTGTTGATATCTATTACTGATTGCATAAAATAAAATTATTAATCAGTACAATGGTTTATAATAATAAATTATAATAAATAATTATAATTTAGGTATTAAACGTTTAAGCCTGAAATTTTGAAGCTTCGGTTATCAAATATTTTACTGGCATAATTTCCATATCATTTTCTAGTTTCATAATACGGTGTTATTATATTCAATGAAGGGGGGTTGAGAAACTCTCCATCTGCAGTATTTTTAATCATGATATTTTAAAATTTGTTAAAGAAAACTTTTCACAAATATTTAAGGTTTAATTTTTATAAAATGAATGTATGAATATTCTAATTAATTTTTAATTTAAATGTCTTAAAAACAGAAAAAAGCAACCAAAATATAATCACAGAATATTATAGGACCTAATTTATTCTGTATCTAACAGAATTGTGCATTAATTCAAATTTCATCAAAACATTATTGTTAAGTAATCATTATCCTACAAAGATTCTAAAGCATTTAATTTCTATCTGAAGATTATAACTAGTTTGTAGTTAATATGCTTATAACAATTTAAACAAAATTGAATGACAGGCATATTTCTGTGTATAGAAATGCCACTCCTAAAAATTTCTATTAATAACTACAAAATAACGTATGAAATATGAATAATGCATCATTATATTATTTGTGTTTTCATATTTGCTAAGCAACTTCAAACACTTAAAATGTAAATATTTATTGAGAACATATTTATTTTATCATTGTTGACCAACAAAATAAAATAATTTTTATTAAATTGACCACCAAAATATGAAACAAGTAATTAATTCGTTTTTAAAATAACATTATTTTATGATGTCAACTTACTAATATTAATGCATGCATATAATAGGTAGCTGAACAATTCACAAAACAGAAAGCAAATATTCGAAAAAATTCAATAATAATGCAAAAAGTCAAATCAAAAACTAATACAAACTTATTAAACAATGAAAATATTAAAAAAAAATGTGTATCAGATATGGATGAAGGTTAAAGTTGGTATTTTGAGCTTATTCTTCAAATATTAATTTATGAAATATTACATTACAGCTAAATTGCGATGGAACAAACTGAAAGCAAAACTTAAGGAGTTACAGGAACTTAACGCCGTTGAGGTAATTATAACACTAAAACATAATATTATGATTAACTACGTATATTTGTATGTTTTAGAATACAGGTGATGCTCCAATATGTTTAGAAAAGCTACAAAAATCAATCGAAGACGATGGAAAATCCAAAATAACACCGATTAAAAATACACAACATTTAAAAATAAAAGTTAATAGTTTAAAAACTGAAACGAATAAGCAAACTTTTAATAATCATGTAAAATAAACTGTACATTTTGTGGTTAGCATATTGTTATCTTATATTAATTATAAACATATTATGCACTGCAGAGTAAAATTAACAGTCACAATAACGTGTTGAAATCAGAAGTAAATAATAGATGCGTTAAAAATGTTAATTTATCGAATACCAACGACATCGAGCCATTGAAGATCGAAATGGAAAAAATGTACAATTATATGGAACAGTTAAATGACAAATTAAAAACAGTCACGGCGGAGTTGTCAAATGAGAAAAGTAGTATTGTGTTAATGAATTCGGCTACGGCTGCTTTGGCTTTGGATAACCTGGTCTATCAGAATCTCGAATTGGAACAGAAAATACGAGAAGGATTTTCCTACAAAGAAAAACTAGATACCGCAACTATGGAATTAGAAAATGTTATCATTGAAAAAAATGACCTTCTAAAACGGTACCTAAAAAATATGAATGCAAAAATATGATGGTGGTAGTTAAAATTAGTCTTTTAAAAAAAATCTTATTATTAGTTTGGAAGAATCGGAGGTCGCGTTAGCTAGTGCGAATGAAAAGATTCAGGTCCTATCAGAAAGATCAGATGACTTTGAATATGCTGAAAAAATTAAGGAAATAGAAGATGAGTAATTATTATCTAACTGTCTTAAATAAACAACTTTAATATGTTGTGTTTTTTAGGCGTTTAGGATGGAATGCATATCAATTACAACTGGAGAATCAAATCTCCGAAAATAATAAAGCCCTGAGCCGCAAAGAAGAGTACATCAATCATCAAGAGTACATGATCGAAAATTTGACTCAAGAAAAACAGAATTTGGAAATACGGTTGAACAAGCCTGTGTTAGAATTAAAATATCATCAATCGGAAGAAATAGAAAATTATCAAAACAAAATAAAACAACTGTCAGAAACCATATCAGACACGAAGAACTTGTTGGTAACAAATAAAAAATCGCATGAGATAGAAGTATCGGAAATGAGGTATCAATTCATAATAACACTGCAGATTGTAATATTATTAACTGAATATATAGACAATATACATCATATTTTTGTGTTGTTTTAACATATTAATCAAATTTATAAAAATAATAAGTGTGTTGTTTACAGGGATCGTATTAGAGAACTGGAGAAATTAGTAGGTACAAAAACCGATTTAATTCATCAACAAAATATGACATTAAACTTGATGAGGGAAATAACTCCGGCAACGAACGATAATTTGATAATGAAACGAAGATGGCCCTAAGAAACTTATGGCGACTATTATGAATTATAATAATTTAAATCACTATAATTTGTATTTTTGTTAAACAAATACATTGTGTTATATCTGGCGAGATGCGAAGAGAGACATAATTTTGTCTCCATTATGATTATATTTATTGTATTTTATTTATAGATGTAATTAAGTTTCCATCCCGGTATGGACCATAAATAATATTATCAACATGAAGTAATTTGTCTCTTACCAGTATGATTTCGAACGCGGAATCGGATCGATTTATCACTGACATTAACACGTTTGGAGTAGGAAAAAAACTATGGCTCAATCATCCATTGACAAACGTATAACACAATGACTGCGAAATGTGTGCCCTGGGCAACGGAAACAAAGCCTATCACCTATATCCTGTGTTCTTAAGCTACATTTCCCCTGATGATTGATGAAGTTGCTTGAAATCGATCTTATAAAAACTTTTATGAACGAAAATATCGATAGATCTTAAGATGCTGATCTCATTCCTGAACGGTTCCAGTATATACAGCGGTAGTGATAACATGCTTATCATTGTCACCCGTCTCGCTCAGATACTCGTTTCAACCAACAAAACATTTTACCCATTATAAAATAAACCAGGGGAATTTATAATCATTGGTACAAGCATTGATACTTATATAGTTGAAGTCGTTTAATATTATTACCAGGTTCGGTTGTAGATATGTTGCTAAACTTGCTTCGATTTTAATAGACGAAGAACTTTATCTGAAGAAAGTTTTGAAATATCAATTTCTCTTTGGTCTGTTAAATGTGTCATAACTTCCCACTGTTTTATGATATCTTCATAACTGAACCGACTATCTATATCATATTATATCGATAAACAAAATAATGGAACAGAATCGTCAGTACATTTGGCAGTTGTACATTCTTCAAAATTTGTTGGTACTCATAAATTAAAATGCTTTACCATTGATTTAACTGTTAGGGTAATACATAATATATCTTTTTGAGGGCATCCATTTTTTAAAGGAAGAACAAATCCGACTAATTTGTTGGAATGTTCTTCGTAACAAATTTTTCCTGTGTTTCTTGTGAAATCATCATTGATGGAGTCCAAAAATTATTTATTCATAATGAATATCAGCGAAAATTTTGCTAGAAAACACACAATAAAATTTTGCTTAGCCATAAAAACTTACCAGCAAAGCAAAATGTACGCATTACGTTGAAATAAATTAATTATCATAATGTCTACATGAATCAGCTTTAAGAAATCAATAACAGATCAGGCAAATTAGCAAGCCCTAGCGAATGATTTTATTTGTTATAAATTCCAATATTATAATAGAGTTAACAATTTTCGATTTACTAATTTATCATTGGTGGAAGATTGTTAGACGAAACACTTTATTGTGATATGCTCAAATCTAAGATAAAATGGTAGAAGCAATATTTAGATTTAAAGAACTGAGATTATATTTTATTTAATGAAATTTACTTCTTTAAGTCTAAAAAAGTGAAAATTGTACACGGATCACAGGTAAAAATTAGTACGAAGAACATGCCAACAATCAACCGGTTTTTGCATCCTTTAAAAAATGAATGTCATCAAATCTGATACATTTACAGCCTCATCAGCTAAATCAATGGTATATCATTTTAGTTTAGGAGTGCGAGAAAAATTTTTGCATAATGTGCAATGGCCAAATGTACTGATGATTTTGCTCCATCGTATTGTTCATAGATATATGGAGCAGATAGTCAGTTTAGTTATGAAAATATCATGAGAAATGTTGACATATTTGACTGCCTGTTAGCTACCCACCACTTGCCATTTGAGTCCTCCTGACATTGCTGCTGAGAAAATATACAACTCAACTACGACTCGGCTAAATTCAGGCAGATTTGCCGTTACCTTTCCGTTTCTGCAACCACTTCTACTGCTTGGCGTTGGTGACTCAAAAACGTTAGCTCTTCAATGGTTCAAGGAACTCGAATGTCGACTCCCCCGCAATAAAGATCTGCAAGATCAATACGCTGAGTTCATGCATGACTACCTGACAACTGGTCATATGGAGTTGATTTCGTCGTCTAAACTCGGCAATCCGTATCATTATTATATTCCGCACCATTGCATGCTAAAACCCGATAGTCTTACTGCCAAATTGAGGGTGTATTCAATGCATCTGCACAAACTTCAGCTGGTATCTCATTGAACGTAAGTATGCACACAGGTCCGAAATTACAACTTGATATCCAAATCGTATTACAGGAAGTATCTTTTTCAGCTGATATCAAACAAATGTATCGTCAAATTCTCATCAGGCCCTCTGCTCGAGATAATTTGCGGATCCTGTGGAGATTTTCGTCTCGGTCTCAAATTCATGAGTACTGATTATGAACTTTAATGTGCTCTAAGTACTCTGCAAGTACCTATACTCACCGAATTTTTTTAAGTCAATTTAGTTATTTTAGAGCTATGATAAAATTAACTAAATTAACTTAAAAAAAATTCGGTTTATCTGAATTTAGTATTCAAAACACCTGTTGCCGTTTAAAAAATGCGAGTTGTATGCGCACACGAAAAGATCTAAAAATGTAAAAATCATCAAAAATAAAAAGAAACACACTGTATATACACTCATTCAGACAACGAGTGTGTTATAAATGATTAAATTAACTAGCCGTGTATGTACACGCAGCAAAATCTTAAGAACATGGTTTATGAGATCCGGGCAATTCTGAGCTGCAATTATAATAATTTGACTTCTAGATAACAATTCTGATGAAAACGTTACGAGATCTGGGGTGTTGGATTCCACAGCGAAAAATGATCTCGTAACGCTGCTACATTTCTATAAGTCGGAACGAATATTTCGGGGAAGTATACAAGTCTACAAGCAAGAATCAAAAATAAATGTGGATTTGCCACCTTTGTACTACGTGCGGGACATTCATTAAACTTGGTAGGCGTATATGCCACTGGTTGTGTATTAGAGGCAACAAAGTTTTTTGATATTATTCAGAAACTTTATATTTTTTTTCGGGCCCTACGATCGATGGAATAAATTAACAGGACATTTAGGTTTAAAAAAAGTTCTTAAAAGTCTTTCACAAACGAGATGGTCCAGCGCCAGCTGATGCAGTAAGCGCCCTGCATAAAGACATAATAGAAAAGAAGCAATACAATTAGAGCAAGAAAAAGATTTTAACAAAAATATTGTTATTATGTTATTTGATATTGCTCGAACATTAGCTCGACAAGGTTTAGCATTTCGAGGTGATGGTGATGAAAGTGGTGGCAATTGTATGCAATTAGTTAAATTGTTGTCTATACATAACCCATTAATGGATCGTTGGATTAAGGAGAATTCTAAACGGCCATATAAAGTTCATTATTTAGGACCGAGATCACAGAATGAATTCATTGAATTATTGGCAAATGAAACACGTAAAATAATTGTAAATGAAGTAAAAGAAGCAATCATTTATTCTGTGTCAGCTGACACAACTCCAAATACCACACATGAGGATCGTTTAGCTGTATGTACAAGGTATGTCAATAATCAAGGTAAGGCCGTTGAACGACTTTTAGAGATTTCAAAAGGAACCGATAAAACTGGTTTAGGTTAGGTTAGGTTTCCAACCTAACTTAACCTATCTTAGAAAATAACACTTTAAATCCAGGGTTAATAACTTTTCAATCATATGACTTTGCTAGCAATATGTCTGGAAAATTTAATGGAGCTCATGTGAAACTTTCAGAACTCACTGGTCATCGAATTCCGTTTATACCTTGTCAAGCTCACAGGCTTAATACTTTTTTAGAGCATAGTTGTGATGCAAGTACAATTATTGCAAACATGGTTGATACTTTAGAAAATCTCTATGTATTTTTTTCTGCAAGTAGCAAGAGGTATGGTTTAATTAATATAAAATTATCTGAAATTGAAAATGCCTTACAGCTAAGAAATTTATCAAAAACACGGTGGACAGCAAGAGCAGAAAGTGTTAAAGCTGTATGGGGCTCATTGTAAGCTATTATCAAGTCTTGATGAAATATGTACCGATACCGGACATTTTGACAAGTTAACAAGATCCAAAGCACTTGGCCTTCAAAAACAATTACTCTCATTTGATTTTATTGTCTCTATAGTTTTTATGAAAAATATTATGTACAAATTAAAATGTCTTACTGAAACTCTTGAAACTAAACATTTATGTATAATTGATGCTATAGCTTTAATTGATAGTACTATGAAATTGATGACTGAGATAAAATCTGATGATCAAGCTATAAATAATTTAATTGACAGCGCTTTATCTTTTGCAACTTTACTTGGAACAAACCCCGAAAGTTATTTTAAAACACATCATCGTAGAAGACTATGTCCTAAACGAATCGACTCATGACCATCAACTAAAGTTGAATTTACAATACATTTATTTTACCGAAGAGAATTTAAATTAGTTCTTGATACACTAATCACATTATCAAATAGCAACTTAAAACAATGTATATCTTCTGTTCAGCCATCGTTCCAATTATTTTCACAACCTTTAGATAAATCAAATATTACTCTTGAAAATATTACAAATTCTCTCTCTTTATTTTGAATATGATTAGGATGTATTCTTTCAATTACATTTAAGCAACAATCTAATTATTGATACAGAATAGTATTAACCAGAATTATATACTTCACCTACAAGCATGACAAAATAGATAGGTATGTCAGCAATATTACGAGTTTTGGTTCGATCGGCGCATCCCCACTTTCTACCATGTATTGAGTTCTCCGGTTTTCATTATGATACCTATATCCGACCAATGGAGAACCATGCGGAGAACTCAATACACGTTAAAGGAGGGGATACTTAACGGGAATGTGCGTATCATAATGTTGCTGACATACCTATCTATTTTGTCATGCCTACAAGGTTACATTATCGCTTCAAAGTGTTGAATTTTGGAAATAAATAAATTTAATAATATTACTAAAAAAATATTACATACATAATTACTAAAATCACAGTTTTTTAATTAAATTTAAAATTATAAAAATGTCAAAATTATAAATTCAAATGTTTTGAAAAAAATGTTCATATAATTATTTGTAAGCCCCTGCTGTATAATAAGTATCAAATGTATACCTATGCTTTGTCATTGAGGAGAAAATCACTGTAATGTATAAGTTAAACTTGAATTCAATGATAAGTCATTGCATAATATAAAAAACGATTCAGAAAAAAAACTTTCTATTCACAAGTACTAATAAGCATATTTTATTATACAACTAATCCTATATTTCTATTGATATTATACATTTTAATGTAATATAGAAAGAAAAAAAAAATAATTCATACATATAAATATTAGTTAAAGGAAATTAAAATGTTAAGTATAAAAGTTAATACACACAGATTTATGTGAAAATTAATTTAGGTCACAAAATCATTATTCACTAGAATGAACATAGTTATACTGATATTTATTTAGCAATACCCCTTGGGTTATACAGTCAAAAATCCATTTTTCATGAATATTATGTCTGGATTGTAATGTATTAGCGCCAATCACTATATCTGCTTTAGATTCCTTACTTGTGCAATGGCCACCACAAGCATGCACCAACCGTCTTAAGAGTTTGGCTGGTGATTCACAGCTATTAGATACGTATATCTTACCAGCATTATTAAATATATTAAATTTCAAATCAGAACCAAATACTGTATGGCGTCGTATTTGAAAATCCTTAATAAAAAACATTTTTGTAAATATTTATTTGAATATTTATAAGTAAATTTAATAAAAGTGAATCAAGAGTTTTTACTTTGACAGGTTCAGACAATTCTGGAATCAAGTATTTTTGATGAGATAGCCATCTTCCAATTGAGTATGATTGGAGTACCTTAATAATAAAATAACATTTTTTCAATCATGTTATGCACAGAATTATAAAAATTTAATATGTCAAACATATTTTGAATAAAATAAATAAAACTGTAGTGTTATAATATGGCAAGTTATAAAATTAGTCTTTGTAAATGCCTTACCCAATCTTCAGAAACAATGTAACAGCCATTAGCCATTGCAAATACAATATCTAATGATTGACTAGATATTGATTTGGTAATTAAATAAGTAGTAGTAGGTTTCACTTCGGTGTGAAAAATAAATTTTCCCAAGTTTTCAATGAATGACTTTAAAATTTTCACTTCACTGTTCCAACAAAAAATTATATTTTAAATTATTGTTTTTAAAAATAAAATTGTACTTTTAATTTTACCTTTTTATTATCCCTGTACAGGCAATTGACTGTACCCTTACATCGTCGTTTAAAAATACTTCTGGTGTCCGAATAGTCATTGAATTGATGAACATTGTTCCAGAATCATTGTCTTTGGTTTGAGTTGACAAATCACTGACTTCATCAATGTTATTTAAATCCTTATCAGAAGGAAATAATAGCATACGAAATCTTTTCTTGGCTTGAAAATTTAAATTTAGTTGATCTTCAATTTTAGCTATTTGACCATAAATATCTTTTGAAATTGTTTTCTCTTTTACATCAGGCGTGAGATAGTTTCTTAATGTTTTAATTGATGTTGGTACATTCAATTTATCGATTTGTTCATCTAGTACAACAATTTTTTTTAATTCTTTGCATAGCTGATCTGATAATATATTCTCAACATCATCCTTAAAATGAAAAATTAATATAAAAACAAATATAACACACAACAAATTTTTTTTGAATAATACAAAATTATGGGTTAGGTTTTACTATTCTCGTGAAAGGTAACTAAAATGTAAGTTATAATAAATAAACAAAACAATTTGTTAGTGAAGCGTTGCTTGTTGCTGTTAGCTGTGAAGTAATTTATCTTGGAAACATAAAACAAATTTAATATTATTAAATACCTTCTTTCGTGGCTTTGGAAAAAAATCACCTAACTAGGAACTTAAATAAAATATATTGGTGGGGCCATATTGATGTCCATTTAAGAATAACTCTATAAAAAGTGTTAAAAAATGAATTTTAAAAAGGTTCATAATATTGTATTTACCCAACAGCAAAAAAACATTAATTTTTAAAGCTTATGCTGCTATTTAGTTATTAATAGTTGTACATCACTTGAACTACTAAATCTATTGGTGGCATGTTTATAATCCGAGGACTCCCGGATTCATCCCCCACCCTAGAAATGTATGCAAAATAAGGCACTTTATTTATGCAAAAACATTATTATCAATATATTATAATTCTTCTAAATTATTAGTATTTAATAACAATTGGCGCATATTGCCTGTAGCTCATCATTTAAGTATTTAATATTGTGTCATTAATTAATACATATAATAATATGTACCTATTTGTTGGAATGATTGGTGAATTTGCTATATTTTAAAATATCATTGAATTATTGATATTATAATTATTATTATTAAATAACCAAAAATGGGTTGTTCACCTTATTTGACAGATTTTCCTCAATGGAAATTTTAAAACTAATCTGAAGAAAAGTTTTTCCATTGAACACCTTAAAATAATGTGACTTATCAAGACATACAAATTTTAGAAAAAATGTCAAACCAACTAAAAAAAGTTGGTAGTGATGTTATTTTATTAGTTATTTATTAATTTTAATCATTTTATTTATTAATGCAAATAATTATATATTTGTTATTTCAACACAACTCAGATGCTTTGTTGTAGAATTCTGATTCATTTCTTGCCAAATAGTATTTTTAGTAGAGCAAATTTGAGTATATTTTACAAGATATAAATTTACAACTAGCCAAGTCATAAATGAACTTAAAAACTTGTATATAAATAAAAATAATACGGTTTAATACATTTTAGTTGATTAGACTATTATAGATTATTGACCCAAGGATTACAGATAATAGAGGATACCCCAAGTATGAACTATCAAAATAAAGGAGTGGGAGGGATTAGGGTGCTCTATGCCTCAATGTCAAAATACAAAATATTTGTTCATTATCACTCATTTACTAATTTTATATTAATACTTTTAATTTCATTTTTGATTATAAATTTTCAAATTTAATAAAAATACGAATTAATGTGTCCATAATAGTATACATATTATAATAATACAGGGTAGCAGTATACTTAATAAGCTGTGGCCTTTAATCATTGCTTGCCGTAGGAGCAATTTGAGACATATTTGGAATATAACGTAGTGCAACATTATGGGTCAATCCAATAGGTTGTATAAATTAATATAACATAGATTAGTAGGTTGTTATGATGATGTTGATAGACTTACCTGTTTGTTCACAGTAGTTTTTTCAGGAGTCTCAATAATAGGACATCTTTCTCCATTTTCAACATTATGGTTCCTACTGAGATTAAACTGTTTCATAAGGTTATCACAATTTGTTTTAATTAGACGGTCACGTTCCATATTACTTGGATCTAAAAACTTTTTATATGACGTGCTGATTTTCTGTAAAACAATACATTTTTATTTATTTATTTTTCCAGAAGATAATAGACCCTCCTAGACAAGTTTAAATGGGCTCATAACTTCACAATTAAGAAATATTTTAAGTACCAGGTATGTATAGGGTTACCAGACATCCTAATTCAAGAGGATTTGTCCTCTTTTTGGATGTCCTTGTTCATCTGGGCTTTTTTTTAAAATTGTAAAAATGTCCTCTTTACTACCCATTTTTTTATACATTCTAGGTAGTTGTTGTATAATAAAATTATGATTTCATTTTTTTTTAAGAATAATTTTTAGTAATTGTGATCAGTGATCACACAACATCAAGGCAAGTAATACAATTCTGATTATGGGAGGTAATGCGATATTGTGATAAGATGTATAAGAACTATGCTTATTATTATTAATAGTACCATCCAAAAATAAAATATTTTATGAACTATGCTAGAGCAACAACTAGACTTAACCATGATATAATATAACCATAATTAAAGTACTTTAAAGTGCTTATCAAAAAATTTAAATGAACCATAATGATTGAGCAAATTACCAAAACAAGATACTAAAATTATTGAACATTTTATTATTTATTAACCAAGACATTAAAAAAAAAAAGAATTAATAATTAATACCTATTATTTATTGACTGTAGTAATATGTATAGTATTAAGAGAATATAAAAGTTCACCTAACCTTTCATTTGTAAAAAGTAAGTAATAGACAATTTCTTGAAAAAATTTAAGAAAAAGAGTATTCAATTTGTCTGCCAAGAAATTTTTACCATACATATATTTTTTGAAATAAAGATAATTCAAATCCCTGGCTAGGTATTTAATAAAAGTTAAGTAACAGATGTTGATGGTTTATTACTAGATCTTACAATACTTCAAGAAATTTCATCAAAAATAGTGATACTAAGAGTAAACAATATTATTTAAAATTATAAATATTTCTCTTTCTTTTGATGGCTAACATGATTTTAGCAACTACTGGCATGTGGACTAATCACTACAAAAAAAAAACCGATCATTAAATAGGTGCAGCTCTAAGATTACATTTTACTGATAGTTGGAAAATAAAAATCATAGAATTAACATAAGACACTTACACAAGAGTTCCTTGTAGATGAAAAAAAGGAGAAAATATCAGAGCTTAAAATATTTTATTGTGACTTTGATACCCAGAGAAGTTTACCCATCCTCAAAAGTTACTTGAGTAACAAATCAAGGATCAAAATGTATAAAGAAAAATCATTAAAAAAAAATTTAAGAATAAATTGTTCACCTTACACTTCAATATATCTGAAAATCTGTCAAACAGATTTTGTGAACATTTAAAGTATCTTACGTACGGTTATTAGTTTTTGAGTTACACAAAAAAACTAAATTGATTTTATCAAAAACTGGTTCCAATGCTTTTAAAAACTTCCAACAATTGTATTATATTATATTGGTATTTTTTATTTATAATCATTGTTAATTGCAAAAAAAAAATAATCAAACAGCCCTAATTTAAAGTACAAACAACATCTTTACAATATTTTAAGATAATACAAATTTACATTGCATTACTAAAAATGTTGACAATAAGTATTGAAGTGAAATTGAAAATGAAATAGGTACACAAACTAATCATTGAAAATTACTTACTGGAATAATAATGTTCCTTGATGGCATTGTAGTGTATTTATCCATACCTACAGGAGGATAGTCAGCTGGATCTTGAATCTTATTAGCTAATTTGCTGTACTCCATCCATCTTGCTGATACCAGTGGAATGTTACGTTCAACTGCTTTTTTATATGTACTACGATAGCCATCACAGAACATTACATGCGTAACCTAAAAACAAAATTAAGACAAATTAAAAAAAATTGTTTTAGAATTAATAGCTCAGCTTAATATTCACTTTTCGATTGAATGTTTTTTCGACTTTAGCACCCAAATCAATAAGGCGCTGATTAATGCTAGTATTACTGCGATTATTGTCGACTTTATAATCAATAAATGCAACAACTCCTAAATCATAAACATTTGTAAAATTTTTTTTTTGCATAGAAAATAAAAATAATAAGTATCATATGTGTTAAAAAGTTAACTAATTGCTAATATTAAAAGGCAAAAAAAAATCAATTTTTTTTTAAAAAAAAACCCAGTAGGTAGATATATAATATTATTTACGTAATGTATATAAAAATTAAAAACCATTGTGACCAGTTAAATTTTTCTATACAATTTTATATAGAGCTAAACTATCAACCAACAAACAATTTTTAGAACTTATTGAGCATGCAAAATTGATTTCATTGCTTTATAACATTTTCAATATACAAGATACAGATGAACTCATGATTAATTATAAAAATTTACAATTTGCACATGCATCAGTCAATGGCTTACACACATAATAGCTTTTCAATTTGTTTTTAAATACATTTGCAAAAATCAGTTACTTGAAATCTTTCCCAACACTTTATTAGCTATATGAATTCTTTTAACACTTTTAGTGATGGCTGCCACAGCAGAAAGAGGTTTCTCAAAATTAAAAATTATGTACGAATCCAAATGTCACGGATTGCTTAGTAGGTCTTGAAATGATTTCAAATGAGAAGGGATTAGGCTACCTTTGGATCTGGATGATTTTATACATAATATTGCAACCGCAAAAACACGATAAATCAATTTAAAAAAAAATTTTTACTTTTATTATTAAATTTTTATTGACTATATAAGTTTAGGTGGGTACTGTGTATTTAACTTAGCTAGTAGGGGTTGACTAATTCACAACTATATTTATGTAGTTTATTTATTGATGACGTCACCGTATTTTTTCTCCCTTTGACCCACGCACAGGGTTAGGATTATTATCAATATTAATCATTATTGTGAAAGTTAAATTTGCTATATTGCGTGTGGGTCAAAGAGAGAAAATCATGCGCTGTTATTTTAATTTTAATCATTATTTATAAATAAATATGATATACCTACACAGAAGTTTGTTGATTTTAATATTTTTACTTGTATAAAAAAATATTTAATGTAGAAAATCCTCGAGAAAATCTTATAGGTATTAAACGATTGATTTAGACCTACCTCATTTAGTACTGAACCAATTTTTAAGAAGCTCGACATAATATAGAATAACACAAGTTGTTGAGTAAAGGAATACAATTTATCAAAATTATGAACCTGTATTAAATATTGTATTGTGACATGCCTGTGGTTCTGAGATTTACCCTAATACTTTGTGACTGTTAACGTTTACTAGTATGTATTTACAGTGCAATTTTAAAAAAAATATGTCAAAACTCACCGATGAAATTTACAATCCTAAAACGTATATAAAGATAATTTAACTCTAAGAATTTAATTTGACAAGGATTTGTTTTATAATAAATATATAGACTTAATACTAATGGCCAGAGCATGGTAGTTCCAGCGGTGAATGTGGATAACATTGATTGTGTTATTCCACACTTCTAAGCAGTGCGTACACCCACCAGATTTAAAAACAAAAACAGCATAAATATGTAATTACTGTCAATACAGGATTATTCAAAAAGATTCATTTGATTTCAGATGCTCATATAGTTTTATTTTTTAGGCTTAGAACAATATGGTATACATTAGATAAAAGAAAAATATGTCAAGTTTAATTAACTGTACCTATCAATGTTCTACATATGTGAACTTCTTTGGTTATACGAATAACATCTAGTCGTTCCACTTAATCATCGGATACACTAGGTTGGCCTGTGCTTTTTCCTTTGCACAAACACAATGTTTCTTCAAACTGCTGGTAGTACAATCAACGTATACTCCGAGTAGTGTGTGCATCGACCCCGTAATGACGGCGAAATTCGCGTTTCACAGTTATTGTCGATTCACGCTTTGAAAAACGCTACACACAAAATGCTTTGCTGTTAGGTTACAAATTTTGGGAAACTAAATTATCGCCGTAAGCAATTATTTTAAAATAATGAATTAATGACATATTAAAACTTGAGAATAATATCCTCTATTAATTGGTAAATAATTTGATAAGATAAAGTCTATTATTAACCATTATACAGCCATTTTAAATGGGATGAATCATTTTGAATAACCTTGTATTTCTTACAAGTGTCAAACAAATTTAATGAATTATGAATATACTTGTATTAATTCTTGCTGGAAACAATGAATGCATTTTGTGCCACTAACTTTCTGATTTCAAAATATTCATTATATCTACCTATTGCCTTATTATAATAAAACATAGCAACTTGCCATCACCGCGCCACCCATCCTTGCAAGCCATATATGCTTCATTATTAGTATAAGTTCTATGAATAAAATATAAAATAAAATTCTTAATATTAATGAAACATTTTAATTTACCTTCAAGAACTTTTTGAGATTTTTGATCATTATCATCTTCCTCAATATTTATTTTGGACTCATTTTTTATACTTGTTCTAGGACTGTCTTGTAAGTGTTGAATTCCGCTTACATTAAGGTTGTCGGTTGATACAATTGAAACATTACTTGAACTCAAACGGGCACCCATTAAAGAGTACAATTCTTTCGATGCCTCGTGCATTAATTCCATGATCTTTGGAGTAGGAATAAACAGTCTTTTAGGTCTTGTTGGTGTATTAAATAATATTTCTTCATAAGGTTGTTTTTTTTTTTTTGATGCTGGTGTCTTCTTAATCAATTTGTTTTTAACCTCTTCATTACTGACGCACTCATCAGGCGGTATAAGTTCACCAAACAGGTCTCTGTAACCTTCCAACGATGTTTGAGAATCTTTAGTCACGTTGATATCAAAATCTTCACACAAATCTACATTACGGTCCAATGATATTTCATCTGAACCGTCAATGAGTAGTTTCCTTTTTTTACGGCCACTAACTTGTTGAGACGTATTTTGCCGCGACATAGTCGTAGTTCTACACGGCTAGGTATTAGCTAAATATTAATATTTATTAAATTTAGTCACGTTAGTTTAATTAACTCATATTATTTCCAATCCAAATTCAAAAACCAAAAATGTATCATATAGGAACTGCCGCCTGCCAATGAACACTGAAGTACTAAGTATAATAGGTAACTGATAAGTGAACAACAAACAACGATGGTAGCTCACGGCGCGGCGACGCTAAGTATTAAGGTACATTTGCCACTTATCATATCCTGATAAGGAGATAACCACAAATTGTATTGCATAGTACCACTTTAATATCATAAACACATGGAGGTAATACGCGGAGGTAACGTAATTAATGCAGTTTAGATCCCTTCTCCGACCTTTTTCATTTTTTTTATTTCTGATTTAATATTTGTACAATCTGTAAAGTTATTTTTTTACAATAAGCACAAGTGATATTTTAGATTTTAAGAAATATTATAAAAAAAAAAAAAATAGGAAATTAATAAAATAAAATATACAATATTCACGTACTTCTGTTAACTATTTTACCTTCTTAAAAGTATAATTAACAGTGATTGTTTAACTATCACCAAAAAGTGCACAACTGGAATGTTAATATAATGATTAGTTTTATTCTCAACTATAACACAATAAAAATATAGTACATTATAAGTCCTCGGTCTGGCCTCAGGACAACCTGCACGAGAACGCTCCTCTCCGTCGCAGGTCTTCAACCAACTGCCGTACCGAATATTTGGATTCCCTTGGTGGAGAAAGGTGCTCATTTATAAGTACATATAACTATCTTCAACATTATAGGAAGTATTTTTACACTTCTTAACATATAAAGGTTAGGTTTAGATTACATTTTTTATCGAAACTTATGAAATGCGGCGAGCTAAGAACGACGGTGTAACCAGCATTAGCCACTCGGACTTCAGTTCAAAGTTGTAACCTTATGAAGAAGGATTTTGCAATTTTGGGTTGAGCAGTAAACCGACGGAGTCGCTTTTCTATATTGCATAATAAATATCATTGTACGCTGTCTATGACGTACTTACCTAATATACCACATGTCCACATCGGCATCGATTCCCAAACCTCAGGATTGACATTTTTATTATATTGAAATGTCACACCTTGATGTAACTAAGCAAATTATTACATCAATCTTTTCTGGGATTCCGAGAAGCGAGATGAGAAAATTTTAATTTATCAAAACAATTTAACGACTCGTATTAAGGCGGGTTCCCACGGCGCGGGGCTCGGCGAGCCACGAGTAAAATTCGCTGGCTTGGTACACTACACGCGCCGTGGGAACGCTCTTGCTCGTCTAGGCGCGGTATAGCTCGGCAAGGCTCGTGTCTATCCGAAAATTGTCGGTCCGATGTGTCCGCGCCAAAGTAAACGAGCCGAGCAATTAGACAGCGTTCCCACGGGCATGCGGTTCGGCGAGCCGTAGTATACGTTTTTTTGTGTTTTATTTTGCAATTGGTATTAAAATTTATAATCATGGAATGGTCAAATGAGGAGGTTATAGAGTTTTTGCAACTCTATGAAGCATATCCACAAATTTGGAACTCACGCCATCCGGATCATAAAAATAGGAACATAGTTCACGATGCGTGGAAAGAAATAGAAAACAACTTAAGGTTAGTTTTTTTTTTAAGATTAATTTTTGATTTTTTATAATAATTTTGAAATAAAATATGTTTTTAAATATTGATTTTTGTATTTTTGTAATTTTAGTGTCAAAACTGATGTAACAGAAATAAAAAAATAAAAAGATTCTCTTATGGCTACTTATAGGAAACTTTTAAACAAAGTTAATAAAAGTAAGGGTACTGGAAGTGGTGCCAAAGACGTTATTCAGCCCGACTGGTTCGCCTATAATGCAATGTCATTTCTGCATGGGATTTACGTTGCAAAAAAAACAATTTCAACAGAGGTAAGTTTAATTAGTTATATTTTGTTTAATTATATTTTATTATTTGAGTACAATACGACTTTATCATACATTTTGTATGCTGCAGTAGCCAAAGGTACTCATATTATTTAACTAATATATATATATTTATTATTTTTTATACTTTTGCTATGATATATTTCAATAATTATATTATCCTAAATACGGCCCTGTGCAAGTAATTATGACTTAATATGTTAAAAATGCCAATGGCCAATGCAGGAAATATAAATATAAATATAGTAATCATTTACGTTGCTCTAGTCGCCGGTTTAGACAAGTAGTAACCGGTGTCGACATGTATTCTACCAACCATAAACCAAATGTTAATTTATTGAAGTTGTTCATAGTCTCTATATTGTTATTTTTGTTCATATAGGTATTTATGGTTTTAAATATTTTACGATATAGCTGTAAAAATAAATATGAATGACCCGAAATAAACTTCTATATCGTCTATATAATTTTAAAAGCACCATCTAAAAATTAAAGAGAAATGAATAAAAATGTAACCAATAAAATAGTTTCAATGAAATAATTATTTATGTATTTATCATAAATATTTTTAAGTTTTAGTTTGATTTAAAAAATGAATACTTCTTTCAACTTAATATGTTAAATTTATTTTATTAATGCTGTTTTTATTAGTGTATATAATAATGATAATAATAAATAAAAAACGTAAATATAAATACGTAAATACGTTAATTACAAATATGTTACATATTAAGCAATAATAATTTTATTTTAATTTATTATTTGGCGTTTTCTTGCCATTCCACTGTTCCGCTTGTCATAAAATATTCAGCTAACTGATCTCTAACCATTTTTGCTTCAAGGCCAGATTTTCTCGGTACTCTTTGAAATGGAAGCATAGATTTGGTACAATTTTGTTCGGACCTCCAAGAGCCTGGAATTACAATTCCATCATTATTTTCAGTATCGAAAATTCCAGGTGGTGTGTATATAGAATTCGATGATCTGCTTCTTCTTAAGAAATTATGCAACAATACACAAGTCATTGTTACATCTCTAACTTTTTCTGGCTCTAAAAGTATAGGTCCTCTAAATACACGGAATACTGAGGCCATAATTCCAAACACGTTCTCAACTACTCGGCGTGCTCGAGAAAGCCGGTAATTGAAAATTCTTTTGCAATTTCCATTTTCATATACTACTGAGTAAGGTTTCATTATGTTCTTACTTAGGGCAAAAGCTTCATCTGTCACAAATAAATATGGTAATGAAACATTTGTATTAGGTAGTATTCCTTCTTGTGGTATTAATAATTCATTTGTCTCCAGTTTTTTAAAAAACGACGTGTTCCGAAGAACGCCACCATCGCTGATTCTGCCTTGACAGCCGATATCCACATAAGTAAAACCATAATTCGAGTTCACGACAGCCATAAGCACAATACTGAAAGTTCCCTTATAATTATAGCATTCAGATCCACTATTTGCAGGGCATTGGATCACTAAATGTTTTCCGTCAATAGCCCCGAGGCAGTTGGGGAAATTCCATTTTTCATAAAAATCTGCTGCTATATTTTTCCAATCACTTTCATTGTTTGGCAACTGAAAAAACAATGATTGATTTTCATTATAAGTTGCGTTTTTTATTTTAAAATTGTATGTAAACTGTTTTTATTATAACCATAATTAATGATCATCCCCTATACTCCTATGATCAAATCACTAATAGTTAAATTAACATATAAATGCAACTGAGTTTAATTATTCATATATGTTGACAATGAACATATAGGTATTTATATTTATATACTATTTGTAAAATGAAGAGTATACAATATATACATATATTAAACATTTTAAATATAAATACAATTAATTTACTACCTATTGATCTTTAGTAGAGTATTGTAATTTATCATTTAAATAATCAAACAAACTTAACAAACCATATATTTCATTATTTTTATCAGTTTGAAAATTTGGAGGATGACGACAACAATATTGAAAATTGTCAGTTGCACGACACAACTGAAATCTATGATCCTCAGACTCCGGATTGCAATTTTAAGAGCCCATCTCCATCATCCAGTAAAGTCAGTAAAAAAAGAAAATCAAATGATAAAGTGGAAGTGATTGAGAACAAGATGGACGAAGCATTTACAATCTTAAAACAAATTACACAAACTCCGGCCAAAAATAAGTGTACACTTTTTACAGATTTACTTTGCGCTAAATTAGAATCCTTAAATGAATACAAACAAGACATTGCAATGATGGAAATTGACAATCTTATGTTTCGATTAAAACATTCAGATAACCAAATGGTACAGCCTCAACCACCCTATTATCAATTTCCAACTACCAATATCCCGACATATTCTCAACAGTTACACCATGATAATTATTCAACAGCATCATCATCATCATCTCTTCAGCCACTACCATCACCAGAGTACATATCTTCTACGCCATCTACATATTACCGTCAACATTTTCAACAATTTCAAAAACCAACCGCAACAACATTACAAAACAGTAATGTAGAAGAAAAAAATTTTGATCAATATTAATTTTGGTTCATCCTACTAAAATTATAACATGCAATTTAGTAGGTATGTTATACTAAATATTGTTTTTATACAAAGATATTAATTTTTTTTACTAAAATGTTTATAATGCATTCTGTATTATTATTTATTAATTTTAAATATTATTATGAAAAAAAATGTTTTTCAAAGTTTCAAATTTGATTTTATTAATTATTTGTTTTTTTTTTTTAAATATTATTTAATTAAAAGGTATTATTCTAAAAAAAGATATGTTTTAAAATATAAATACTTTACCATGATTTCATTTTTCAACTCCTGATTTAACGCCCTACAAACATCTTGAATACACCGGGAAACAGTTTGACTTGAAAACTTAAACAAGTATGATAAGCTCTTAAAGCTATCTCCTGTGGCTAAGAACCTTAAGGTAACAGCTAGCCTTTCCTGAACCGGAATACACTTTCTCATATTTGTATCAGTTTTGCATATAGTTGGACCAATTTTTTGAATTAGATATTCAAAGTCTATGGCAGACATTCTACAGAAATTTTCAAACTTGTTAGATGGCCCTCGTTTTAAATCTTCTAACAGATCCGTTGCATTGTACCTATTGTAGTATAATATATTATTAATAATATTAAGTATTATACAACTATAGTATAATATTATTTTATTTTTTTAATATAGTATTTTCTATCAAAAACTTGTTAACTATAAGTTTAAAA